AATCCACGTTTCAGCATTTTTTGTTTAAACACAGTATATAATTTACAGATATTTCATTTCCTTAACTAGATTAATTTTTGAGACAAACCCTGTATCAAAAAAGGTCTATGACAACTTTGGCGGTCTTCTTTGAGACAAACCCTGTATTAAAAAAGGTCTATGACAACCTTCTTTGACATAGATAGAGGAGCTTCATTATCAGTGAAAAGGGTACGAGGGCGACACTGAAAGTTTTTAGAAATGACCACTTGTAAACGATATAATAAAAAAATATCTCTTTGCCAATATTATTGTATATGTATTTTATTAATTTGTCATTTGTTTACGATTTGGCGGCAAATTGAATATTATCTGTGTCTGACTTTCGATGTCATTTAAGTCAACAAGAAAGTTATGATAGACTTCGATTGGCCTTTCACGATGAAGCCCCATTTCGTGCCACTCTTTACAACTAGTTTAATGAGTTTAAACGTGGTCGCACTAATCTCACCGATGATCTGCGTGAGGGACGGCCTTCTACGGCGATGACTGAAGATAACATCAGTGTTGTGCGGCGATAATAGAGACTGACAAAAGAGTGACTTATCGGCAGATTCGGACAAGCTTAGGCATCGGTATGAGTCAAGTGCATAAAAACCTCCATGAACATTTAGCGGTCAGGAAGCCCGGTGGATACCTCATAATTTGACAGAGGCCCAAAAACTCCGTCGTGTTGATTGGTGTCGTGAAATGGTTCAAATATTTAACGGAGGTGACTCAAATGCTGTGTTGGACATACTTACGGGTGACGAAAGCTGGATTTATTGTTATTGTCCTGAAACTAAGAAACAGTGCTGTCTGGATGTTTCCTTCCGAGGAGTTGCCAACTAAAGTGAAGAGAGGTGGGAAAAAAGACGGTGGACTCGTTCTTCGGAAGGACAAGTCATTACGCAACAATTGTTTTAGAGGATCAAAAAATAGTTACTGCAGTGGTACATTAACAATTGTTTGCCGCTTGTCCTGGAAAAAGTTCGGGAGAAACGACCTCGCAGTAGAATTCTCCTTCACCTCGACAACGCCTCGTCGCACACCGCCAAGCAAACAATCTACTACTTGGCGACGTCAGACGTGGAATCACTGGGTCACCCGCCCTATAGCCGTCGCACTTTGCGATTTTTATTTATTTCCGAAAATAAAAGAAAAACTTCGAGGAAAACGTTTTATGGACGCCGAGGAAGCAGTGGCTGTGTTTCAAAATGCCGTCGAAGAGACCCCTAAGTACGAGTGGGCAAAGTGCTTTTCTGAGTGGTTCCATCGGATGTAGCGATGTAATCACGTAAATGGACACTTTTTGGAAAAGATATAATAAAACTAATAACTTGTTAGTTTGTTCAGTTTTTGATTTTCTAAGGACTTTCAGAGTCGCCCTCTTATTTGCTTCTTTACACTCAACATACTAAACACAACCGCATTAAGCTGCAACTCTACGCTAGTATTCTGTGAGAGAGTGGTGGTAGAGCCGACTTATTCTTGCTACAATCATTATACAGTTGCGTGGCTCTTCCTCATCCACCATATATGAATATGGTAAGACTTTGTCCCGACAGACTTCCACTTTTTTCTTTGTAATTGTAATATTAGTCCTGTCGTGCAGCAGACCTATAGTTATCGACGACGGCCAATAAAATGGCCAGAATATGTTAACAGCTTTGGCAGATATTTTTAACCGAGTTCCAAAAACGAGAAGTTACTATATTTTGACCCGTATGTTTTTGTTAAAAGTAAATATGTCCACCGAGATCTCGGAAACGGCTAGACCGGTTATAATAATTCTTCTTTTATTATATTCTTATATGTAAATATAGACAAGAGGACGAAGTTGTTAATGTAAACATTTAGACGACATTCTAGTTGTTACCTTGAACTTCTGATGTTCCTTAGTCTGCTCAAAAAAGTAAAATAATTAAATCTTTAAAAAAAAGTAAAACCGACTTCAAAAATAAAAAATAATAATAATTGTCACACAATCTTCTGAATTCAGGACATTCTTTGATAATCTATGTATATGTAACTTCAGAGGCTGTTATGTGGAAATGAGTATTTATCTTCTTTTTTACGTCGGTTCAACTTTTTTTTTATTTTAATTATGATTAATTAATTGTTCTTTGCAAAGAATTTTTGAGCATTGTGAAGTATATAGTATACTGCGTAGTTATATTTCGATATTCCCTACAGGGAAATGTTGGCATAATTAAAATTCGCCTAGAAGTTATTATAAAAATACATCAATTTTAAGGTCCTAATAAAGCTAGCCTTGAGAAAAAATAAATATACCGCCACCGACTGGTACTCTTTCTTACTACAATTGTAACCGAGGAAAGGTGCATAATATGTAAAACCGGCTTCTGACGGGCATTCGTGCGTAAATGTTTAGTTCCGGTAGATCCAGTGTGACAGCTAACTAATACATATAAATACTTAATACAAATAGAATTATCATATTTTTGAACTGTTTCTTATTAAGTCGTATGTAAATAGTAGGTATATAACATTATGTGAGAAGCAGAAAAATCTTAGAACTTTAAAAGGAATAAATTGTTATTGAAAAACAAAGACTAACTGCGTAGAGGATATCTGGGCCACATTTAGTCCATACAAACGTCCTCGGTTTTCTGCCTGGATATTGACATTAGAGCAAATATTATTTTTACAAAATTACCTATATAGGAACTAGGAACCTTTTGAAATTATTGCCTTTGATAGACATGCAGAAAATAAAATTTACGAATATAAAAAAATAATAGATAAACATATAGATATAGCCAAAACTTACAGATATAACAAAATTCAAATCAGTCCAGTTTTGGGGAAACAGAATGATGATTTTGTAAATTAAAAAAAAAAATTGATTATAGAAATATTTTACGCCTCTGCGTTGAAATCTTTTTGTATTCTGTTTAATGTAGGCTCTATGACAAATTAAACAATAATACATGATCAAACGAACTTCTAAGTGAAGTTCGATCAGTATTATATGAGTCACTTTATTCGAAGATATAGATGTTATATATATGTATTTTATATACATATATAAGTTTAACAGGTAGTCCTTTCATTGTTCGGGCAATAACTCGCACGCTTTTTCAGATTCTTAAATATCGATTAGAAAATCGATTTTAACTGTCGATTACTTCCTATCCCTTCCCTATTTTGTTCCCGTGATCTTGCTTCATTTTTCAGAGATTATTTGTTAGTAAATATACTCTTGATTCGGCAAAACCCTCTCGGGCTGGGACGGGTGGGAACTTTATCTATATCTTCGAATAAAGTGACTCATATAATACTGATCGAACTTCACTTAGAAGTTCGTTTGATCATGTGTTATTATTTCGTCACATTATTCGAAGATATAGATGTTATATATGTGTATTTTATATACATATATAAGTTTAACAGGTAGATGTTTAGAGATTAGTTTTGCCGAAACATATTCTACATTAAAGGTAAAATGAGACCAAATGTTATCAACCAATTTAGATTTAATAACAAAAAACATAATTAGTTTACAGCTTCTCAGAAAATTTATAATATGATAATTTTACATTGTGAAATTAATCTTTAATACACACTGCTCTTGCGAATTCATTATTGTCTACTACTTGTCGATTGTAAAACCTAGCAAATATAATAGACGTTGATGTCCAACCCGCGGTTCTTCGGATTACATCGAGTGAGACTCCTGCGCTTCTAGCCGCGGATGTGGCAGCGTGTCTCGTACTGTGAGCGCTGAACGTCGCCACATCCACTCCGCTTTCCGTTTGGACTTGTTTAACCCATCGCGCGATCGTCTGACTCGTAGCCGCTCGGTATGGACGTTTTAACGTTAGTAATAAATTATCCAACTTACTAGTTCTCAACTGTTCCGTTCGGGAAATGTAGTCTTTGATAGCAGTTCCTGGGCATATGTCTATATTTTCCTTAAAATAGGGAAGCACCAGCAATGGTTGTTCACGCCCCGCAGCAGAAGTTTTTACTAAATCGTAAATGGCAATTTTAATATCACTGGGACTTATTTTAATATTCTTAATTTTTATCAAGGATAATGTTTGCGCCCTATGGACCGTACATAAAGCCAAGAGAATAGTAGTTTTTTTTGTTAATTTTTCAATAGACACCTGGTCATGAGGTTTCCATTGTGCTATGTAATTAAGTACTACCTGCGGATCCCATGTACTAATATATTTCGGAAACGATGGTCTTAGTTTGTATACTCCCTTAAAAAATATTTTTAATAAGTTATTATTACTAACGTCAATATTTAGTAATAAAGCCAAAGCAGACCTGTGGCTATTGAGTGAGCCATATGTCGCACCCTGATTAAAAAGATCTGTAAGAAATGATAGAACTATTGATTCCGCACAAGTATTGTAAGGATTTAAATTTAAGTCATTGCAATATTTCCACCACAATTTATAAGTACAACCATACTGTTGTAAGGTGTTTTGCGCCAATGAAGACAACATTATATCTAAGGCTGCTTCAGGAGTTAATTTTCTTAGGAAAGCGTCCCGGATAGCCTCGCGACTCCCAGGGAAAGTTGGAACTGTTTCCTTTTCCTGCAAGAAAAGTTTGAGAGGCTTTGGTTAGCGTCTAAATAAATAATTTCGGAGCTACACATAGCTCTTAAAACCGGGAACCACGGTTGAGAGGACCAGTAAGGAAATACTAGGATGCCTTCTGCCCTATCTGTCTTGATCTTTCGAAGGCACTTCAAAATTAATGTAAATGGTGGGAAAGCATAAAAGAAGTATGGTGTCCAACTTATGGTGAAAGCATCTACTGTAAAAGAATCGGGATCTGGTTTCCACGATGCATACATTTTACATTTGGCATTGGCGCGAGAAGCGAAGAGATCTATGTCTGGTTTTCCTAAAATGTCGGTAATATTCTGAAATGTAGTCTTAGATATTTCTAATTTCGTGTCTGCATTTTTGTTGCGAGATTCTTGATCAGCTTCTTTATTATCTTTTGAGTTTATTTATGGCGGTAAGGCCTACCCCTATTTGTTGTTGCGAATTTTCAATTTTTTTATCCCGTGTTCGTGCAAATTCGGAAACAGCAGCCGCTATTTCAGGATTTAAAATAGGCGCACTAAACAGCTTGCAGTTTTGTGGGGTGGCATAGTCCTTGATTATTTTGTCCTTTTGGTCCTTTTCTGTTAGACCTCTTCGGAGGATTGGTGCCCATCTCTGGGCCAAATCTGGATGGATATCTTCCCCATATGTTACCTGTTCAGGAACTAGCTCTCCTAAGGCTATTAAAAATTCTGGGTCTAAAGAAGGCAACGGCTGTCCGAATATTGGCGCCTTTCCTGTGATCTCACTTTGAGCTGAATCTGGAAGATTTTCATCAACGTGGTCATAATCCAACTGAACGGTGTTTAAGATATTTTCATTGTTCTCGGTAACATTGGTTCCGATTTCTGGAACAAACATTTTTATTGTAAGAAAGTGGGTATACAAACAAATACTATTTAACACCACAATGCGTTAAATTTTCATATTTTAACTTTTTAATTAAATAATAGGATTCGAACGTAGTTTTTGTTAGCTGATTGACTCACGGTCAATTCTATGCTAAGCAATGTACCATTCGGCTAACTCCCGGTTAACTCTCAGGCCATAATTAATTTTTGGTTGACTCACGGTCAACTCTAATTACGTAAATTACATAAATTATTTGTAATAGTTGGATAAGCACGTAAACGAACGTAAATAAATGTTGCTTACCAGATTTTTCTTCGCAATCTGACGAATCCGAGTACACAATGATTCGCCTACGACGTTTGTCTTCTTTAGTTTGTAATTTCTTAATCTTTTTCCTATAAAACGCAATTTGGTCTTCGGCACTTCGTTTCGGCATTATTATTGTAACCGACGCGTGCGGTTCACTGCGCGCACAATAAAAGAATGAAGCAAGATCACGGGAACAAAATAGGGAAGGGATAGGAAGTAATCGACAGTTAAAATCGATTTTCTAATCGATATTTAAGAATCTGAAAAAGCGTGCGAGTTATTGCCCGAACAATGAAAGGACTACCTGTTAAACTTATATATGTATATAAAATACATATATATAACATCTATATCTTCGAATAATGTGACGAAATAATAATGCTTTTTTGAATTAAATATTTAGTAACAATCAATGAAGTATCATTGTTTATTCAAACTAAGAAGAACCGACATAAGAAAAAATGTTTTTGAACGAACTGGAGATACGACCTGATGAAACATGCAGATATGCGATGGATGCAGATGTGAACAGAACATTGCTTGGTGGCAATTTCTTGGTAGAGCCCTTTGTTCAGCAGTGGTATGAGCGAAAATGATGATGGTGATGATTCTTGCATTGACCTTGCATTATTAACTAAACATCAATTTATAATAAAAATTTGACCCATTCTATGTTCCTAACATACACAAATCTGTAAGGAAGTTGTTATACTTGCTCGTCACGATAAGTACCGGTTTACATGGAGACCCGGTCTGGTTAAAATCTTTAATCGATATGTAAATTAAGCTCAACTTTTAATATATTTGAATAAAAATATTTGTAAGATTGACGCAAATCGAAGGAAGCGTTCAGCCAGTCTATAATTTGGTGAATCAATTTGGATCGATCGCTTTTGGATACTGTTGAACAATCGGTTCGTGTATTTCGGGTAACCCATTCGAATACCGAATACCTATGCCATTTTATACTAGGAAATCTTTTCATTACTTATCGAAAGTATGATTTCTATTTTGATTATTTGTTTCGTTATTGATTTTTAGACTTTACGTTTATATTACAATAATTGTTCAGTTAAGTCCTGCGATTTTACCAATGCAAGTTAACTTTGTCATCAGGGATTTACAGGTACAAAATTACGATTAACACGGACAACGTAACGTTTTTCAAGATATGCCCTTTTTTGGATGAAAATTTAATAACTAATTGACAGGGTTGTTTTCGCGGAATTGTGCGACGTAATCTCTTTATTCAGTGCTCCAGAACTTTGTTGATTTTATTTTTAGAATCATAATTATTGAAATCACTAATAAATACCAAATCTATGAAGAGTATAATATGTCACAATTAACTATGACGACCAGACTGAGAGTACCTTTTTTGTTGGAAAATTAGTCCTAGATTTTTAAGTCCTTCCAAAAATGGAAAAGTTGCCGGATTTTACGGTTATAAAATATTTTCTCGGTTTGATTAGTAACAAATACTTACAGCTCTAACAATTTAATAAGTTGATGGGGTCTTCTCTTTGATTTTATATGTGATCTAGTTGTATATTATTCATTAAAATATTTTTTTTATATAGGATAAGGGTGACAAACGAGCACACAGTCCACCTGATGGTAAGTGGTTGCTGCGGCCCATAGACATCTACCATCTATCCTCTATTACAAATCAAAATGTAAATGCGTTGTCACCCGTGAGGACTAAGATGAAATGCCTCATTTCCAGTAAAAAGGGCCTCCGGCCACCTGCACTCACCAAGCGAAACGCAGAGGTAAACCTCTACTTCACGCTGGTATTCTGTGAGGTCGTGGTACCACCCCGGTTCGAGCCGGCCCATCCGTGCGACAGCAAAAGCTGCCGCGTGGCTCTACCACTGTTGAAATCAAACGTAATTGAAATACTTTTTCTCAAAGATATGCCCCTTCTTACTGATGGTGTATAGCATAAAAGTATGTCATATCCTAGAGACGTTAGAGCAGCAATTTTAACAGCATATTTATAGGAGAAACTTATATTTAAAAACAAAAGTACACATAGTATACCCACTATCATTTCTCATATTCAGTTACGCTGTCTTTGAGTATTGTAACAATAGAAATGAAAACTGACCGAGAAGGTTGGGAACGAATCCTCTTTATTATTATTCGTAATATTCTTCATTCAATACAACTTCATTTATACGCATCCGAGAATTATTCTGCATAACGAAGTTCCTGTGAATAAAAGTGAGGGACCCATTCCATTAGTATTCCCTGCGAAATGTTTTTAATCTATTCACTTTTAATTTGCAAAATAGGCACGATTCTATTTGATTCTCGAATAAATTGACATTGTTTTAATGTTTTATTATTTCCAAGACAAGAGACCTTACGTACTGTGTACATTGGCTCGTTTTAATTTAGGACTGGCTATCAATGTCATCTCTAAAACATTTATCGTTATAATTTTGATATATTATTAAACACGAATCTTATGGTACGTGTAGGTACACTGATACCGATTTTGTCGGCCGATGGCGGACTGAACTACCCGGACGAGTAACTCGGACGTGTATGTGCTTACACTGCAACAGTGTACCACGTGTACCGACATTGGACGTTGCCGGTATTCTGTAGTTGACTGTGTTGCTTAATAGAGTGAAGACGCATTTTTTTTAAATATCTGGAACCGCTATATCCGTTTCCGATCCAACTTCAGCTCATAACCGTTTCGAAACCTCTCGATTGTAGTAATTGTCCATTATAAACACAACTAATTAATTTTTCAATATCCATAGTCGTTTAGGTAGATAACAACACTGACAGATACTACAAAATAAAGAACGAATGATTAAATTAAACTATAAATATACTCAATTTGCACTGTAGACGCCGGCAATCTGGCGAGAAATCCCAACAAGTTCGGACTCAACGGTTGATCGGCCGTTTTCTTGCGTTATTGGACGATAACGGTCGTGTTTGGTACCCACTCTCTTTCTTTTACAAGTGTTTGATTCGATCGTCCGAGTTCGGCCGTCATTGCCCGAGCAAACTTCGGCCGATGACGGATTAGGTGTACGCGTACCCGTATCACGCGCGCATCATTGGGCTATTGACAATCTCACTCTATAAAGGAGTTTCGAAACTGTCAAACGCCTAGAAGTACGCACGTAGATTTTGCTCGAGTCAATTTTGCTTGATAGTATACAAAGTTTGTTTGTTACATGCTTGTTTGTTTCTTTATTTCTTCAGAGCAGTCGAAAAATTACTTGTACTTGCTCAAGCTCAAGCAGCTTGAGCAAATAAAACGAAATTACGTTTTAACCGTTAATCTATTTGATCGTGTCGGAACACCTTTTGTTAAGTATCATGACACCGTCATGGCACGTCTCCCTTTTAAGATTATCATTTTATTTTCCACAAATGCAGCCACATTTCCTATGAAGTTAATGACTGAATGATGATTAGATAAAAAGATTTTTACCTTGTATCTATGATGCTACTTACCGTTGTCGGTCAGGTAATTTTACATGAATATACAGATGGGTTATACCTCTATCTCTCGGAGGCCATAAGATCTAACGGGATGACATTTCTTTCTTATAATATATGGGTGACGAATGAGCACACAGTTCACCTGATGGTTAGTGTGGTGCAGTGGCCCATAAACACCTAAATCGATAAAGAAACAAGATGCACTGTCATCCATGAGGACTAACCTGGAATGCCTCGTTACATGTAAAAACGGTCTGCGGTTCTCTACATTCACCATATGAAACAGCAGCATTAGGCTGCTATTTCACGCTGGTTTTCTGGGAGAGTGTGAACGTCGAGCCAGCTTATTCGTGCCGCAGCACGTACAATAGATGAATATATATTCTGTAATGTGCATATTATGGCAGATATCCATAATCTGTCATGATTATGTAAATACAAGTGCCATCTGTACCCCAATCATGTTAATTCTTAGTCAGTGTATTGAACAATATTCTGGCTATTAAGGAAAGATGTGGCTATGACCAAATGGTTTAGGATGATAACTGACAACGTGAAATAAGAGATCTAGAATGTCAATGAAAATGAATTTTGTTTAATCAATGAATGCAACGATTATGAAATAGTAAAATGAAATGGTAGGTGTGGCGTAATTTCGTCACACCTCACGCCTAACTTTTATGAAAGCAACTGGTGGATAGTTTGATCATTAACATTATACACTTAATAAATACATACTTTTTTTAAATAGTGTAAGTATAGGTGAGTAATACTTGCGAAGATAGACGGTTTGGAATCATTAAAGTATTAAGGTGTTTGCGTAAAATTGCTGCAAAGCTTTCAAAAATTAATTCTAATCGATTATTTTTATTTTTAAACTACCTGTGACCGCGATTAATATTAAAGATGAATTCGTCTGTGAAAAAGTTGAATCCTTGAAGCTGTATAAATACATGGTTAAAAGTTAAAAAAAAAAGTAAATATTGGTCCCATGTGTTAGTGTTCCAGTGTAAATTTTAAATAAGTAGAGATAAGAGCGTTGTCAAAACGAAATAGAAATACCGTTTCAAAATGATGTTTGAAATGAAAAATTACACACGGAAACTACGACATTTTACGTGTATAGATTATAATGATAATCACTCAAAATTGTTTTTAGATAAGAGGTAAGTAAGAAGCATGAGAGTAGAATAAATGCTGTAGAAATGCGGTCATTAAGGAGTATGTTAGGGATGAAGCTGAATGACAGAGTGAGAAATTGTTTAATAAGAGAAGAGTGTGGTTTGCAAGATGATGTTGTGACCAGGATTAAGAAAGGAATGCTTCGGTGGCTTGGCCATGTAGAAAGAATGAATGAGGAAAGAGTGACAAAGCAAATCTATGTTGCAGAGGTGAACGGCATAGTCGGGAAGGGTCGCCCTAGGCGAAAGTTTATCCACCAAATTGGCGATATATTAAAAATGGGCCATATCAAGAGTACCTTTAACCGACGAGCGTGTATGCGTAGGTATATGGATGTGGAGGAAGCGAGAGAGGTGTGTCAGGATCGTGCCAAATGGAAGTCCATAATCTCTGCCTACCCCTCTGGGTGACGGGCGTGAGTGTTTATGTATTATGTAAGTAAGAAATATCCCTCATTCATGCATTATTTAC